TCAAATGAAGGACAGTGTAAATCAATGCATGGTAGATAGGTTTCAGTTAATGCCTAGACTGTTCTAAACAAATTTCAAAAGACATAAAACCTTATTCATGTAATAAGTGTTAATTGAATGGTTACAACTCTACTGGTTGTATTTATGGAAAGCTCATAAACAACAAAAAGACACAGCCCCATATAGCAAAAGTTAAAGAGACTATTTTAAAGTCTTAGTATGTTTCTGTCAGGATGTTAGTGAAATATCCCATAAATACTTATCATTCAAAATATGGATTTATCTCAAAATACAATTTTATTACACATGTAAGAAAATTTGTTTCAGGTTTTCAATGTATGTTCTAGACAAATCTGTAACAGAAAAGTAAGTTCCACCTTTCAGAATATGTGCTGTGTAGTTTGGAGACCTTAAAGGGACCATCTCACAGTGTAACTACAGCCTGAAGCCTAAGCAATTTTCTCCTGTTTCAAATGATAGCATTTATTGTCTCCTAGAAATCAGTTTGGGGAATCATGTTAGTCTGCTAAGCACTTCAGATAAGGTAATTCCATGAAGCGTTCCAAGATTATCCCAAGGAATTGCTTCTCAGGCCATAAAATCAGAAATGAGCAGAATATGGCCCGCTGAAGGAGGTTACAGTTTTACAGCCCCTCCCACTGCAGTACTTGAGTCACTCAGTTACAGTTAGCTCTGGACTACCACTCACGGATTGAAAGCACGACAGTCATCACACCCGGGGCTCCTGTCGCCACTGCATGTGTGTCTCTCAGTTGATGATGAGGGTGTCTGAACCAATCCTGGACATGGACATGGGCAACTACAGTGAGGTTTTGGACCCGACTTACACAAGTTTGGAGTTTGAAACAATGCAGATTTTATATAATTCAAATGGTGAGTTCTCATCTGCTTATGAGATATTGAAGGAGTATGTAAGTACATATGCTGGGAGAGTAAAACCTAGCATTCTGGGCTCGTGACTCAATCCTTTACTGCTGGAGAAGTGAAGCCCTGCTTTGTGAGATCACAAATCTGAGCTTTTGTGCTTCTTTCCAGAATTTTAATTAATAATGCTGTGGCTATTTCATGTTAGAGATAGAACAGGCTAGTTTTGTGTGATAAAGTAACAGAATTCTGGCCTGGGCCGGCTAAGAGCCAAACAGGGTAGTTTCAGCAGTAATTTTATTTATTGTAAATCACAGTAATAAATAACATTACAAGATTGGCTGGCTGTGGAAGTATATTTTCTACACAATATTTAACATGAATTATGGAGCAAAGTTTCTCTAGAACACTAGAGAGTTTTCCTGATCATCTCATTCTTTCATTATTCTAGTTCTCAATTGCTGCTGATGAGAAATTGCTTTTAAGATGAGTGTCAAGTCTTAGCACTGAGCACAAATATGAAAAGAAATAAGAGCTTATATTATAATCTCACTTGACAAGCTAATGTTTAGCTACACAAAGCCCTTGGCATTTATCTAGCGTAACATTTTAACTTTAAATAACACATGAATTGTTTAGGGATCCTTTCTTTCTGTAATTTAGTTTGCCATTGACTTTGAATTTACTTGTTTTCTTCAAGTAAAAGTCTTGTTCAAGATAGAATTTAATGGTCAGAAATTCTGATATCTCATAATTAGATAGACTTGAGGAAAGTATGTATGTATGTCTACGTATGAATATTTAGTTTCAGATTTAAAAATCTTCTTGTGCTAGGAATATCTTAATATTGTACTATACTGTACAATCTGACTGATCCTTTGGCTTCAGTTTCAGTAATTGATAGCTTATTAGTGAAATTTTAAAAAATGTTTAAAATGTGTCATTTATGAAGGATAAATGAAATTTTTTTAAAAATTCTAAAATCTAAGCATAAGTAGAATAAAATGAACCTATAGTGAAACTCTTAGGAATTACTATTTGATTAGATGTACTTAAACATACATCTAAACAGAATCATGGCTTTAAAGACTAGATTCCTAAGTGGTAGAATAGATTTACCATAAATATTTACCAATATATGTTAAGACAAGTAAGTTGTATGGCTACTTACCATTGTACTTGTTTTACATACTGATTACTTTCAATATTTCTTTTTCATATATGGAAAAAATCGATCCTAAAGACTCCTAACTTATGTTTAATAGTATCTGTTTTGCTACTGTTACCAAATTAAAAAAAATAAAATTTTAATCTGTAATGTCACAAGATTAACTTTATTTTTTTTAAATTTATTTTTATTTATTTAGTGTGTGTGTGTGTGTGTGTGTGTGTGTGGCCAGCTCAGCCCACCAGGGGGTGGGGCTGGCTGGCATGTGGTGCTGGGGGATTGAACCGCAGTCCCTGTGCTTTGCTTAGCTTAGCTTGTTCTAAGTAGGTGCTTTAGACCACTGAGCCATCTCACCAGCCCCAAGATTAACTTTAAATGCCATTGAGTTTAAATTTTTCCTACATTAAGCCAGGCATTGTGGTGTACACCTATAATCCCAGCACTCAGGAGGCTGAGGTAGAAGGATCATTATGAGTTTGAGGCCAACCTGGGCTCCATAGTGGATTCGAGTCCAGCCTTTGAGAACTTATGTGTCCACCTAGTAAGACCTTGTCTCAAAACACAAAAACAAAACAAAACAAAAAAAATTTCCTTCATTATATTTTGAAATTATATATGACAGTATGTATGTACTGAGAAATATTAGTAATTAGCATATATATATTCATGGAATGAAGTTGAAATATGATAAACCTTAATTTTATGCCTTTGTTGTAGTAGAGATATAATAAAAAGTTATTATCTATATTATATGATTTATAGATTAATATTTTAATCTGCTTTATAGATTTCATAGCTTGAACACATATAGAGCTTTAAATATCATATCAATAATATCAACTTACTGAGAAACTGAACCTATACTGATATTGGAGATTTGAAGCCAGAACTTTGCACATACTAGACAAATGTTCCATCCTGAACCCCCAGCTCTATATATCTATTTTTTAATGCCCCATCCTTTCTAACTAGATATTAGATACCCTCTGTATGCTAGGCGTAATCCTAAGTGCTGGAAAATGAGGAGAAATAAGATAAAAATTCTCTGACATTGGGAAGTTTATAGAGTATATCTAAGATGGGAAATAAATGAGGATATATATATATATTTATATATTTATATATATTTATTTTAGGCAATGCCAGTCATTAAAGAATCAATAAGCAAAGCCCTATGTTTTTCTTCAAGGGTAGATGGGAGTTAGACTCTTAGATGTTTGCTTAGAAAACGTTTCATACATGGGATGGAGAGGCTCAGTAGCGTAAGTATCTGCCTGGCAAGCGGAAGGTACCACGTTCAACCCCCGATACTGCATGCCTTGCTGGCCCTGGAACCCTGGACGTGATGTGCTGACCCTGGAACCAGGCATGGTGGCACACGCCTGTAATCCCAGCACTAGTAAGGCTGAGACACTGCATAGCAAGACCCTATATCAATTAATTAAATAAATTTTAAAAAAGAAAAGCTTTCACACAAAACATGAAATTTGAACACAAATTTGATAGCTGCCACAGAAGACAAGTACAGAAGTTCCAAGATGAGAATTGTTTAAAAACAATCAGAAAAACCTTCAAACAAACAAAAAGCCAAAAAGGAACATGCTGGAGAAGAGTGAATGGGGTAGGAGGGGAGTGGAACCAGATATGGAGAGCGGTGGTTCACTGAGGGCAGAGATTTATGGGCCTTGACATTTTTATTGGCTTTGTTGTCTATCTAGTTACGAGTCATGGCAGAGTTGACCAAGAAGGGTAGCAAGATATGAATTTCTTCCACCAAGACCACTTTTGTGGTTCTAGGTTAATAAATACATAGTAGGGGAACAAAGGTGAAAGTAAGAAAATTAGGTAGGAAGTTATAGCATTTATGCAGGTGAATAATGGTGGTGGGCTGGCTAGAGGGAATCATGCGGGAAGAGTGAAAAGCTGTAGATTAAATGTGTATGTTAAATGTAGTTTACTAAACAACTAAATGGGGGCTTCCTAATTGGTTAGTCTTGAAGGATGATGGGGAGAATGAAAGGAAGATTCCCAAGTTATTGGTTCTAGGGGCTAGATGAGACTTGGCTGATATTGAGAAGATCGGAGGAAAAACAAAATTCAACAGGCAAAATTTAAGTTCTGTTTTTGATATATGAATTTGTGATTCTTGATTTCAAAGTGGAGATTTTTTTGGGGGGGTTATTTTCTTGTTTGCTATCCTAGGGATTAAATCCGAGGAATTTATACTGAGTTACATCTCCAGCCCTTTTTCTCTTGTCTATTTTCTTTCTTTCTTTCTTTCTTTCTTTCTTTCTTTCTTTCTTTCTTTCTTTCTTTCTTT